AAAGAAGGCCCCCGCCACAGAGGGGGGGGGGGGGAGCACGAGCAAAGTGCAGCTTTTGAAAGCCGCACCAAAAGAGACACGTGGCAGTGGGATCACATAGATCCCCTAAGCCACCGCGCAGCGCCTCCCTGGCACGATCAGATGCCGGGGGGGGGGAAGCCACTAAAGAAAGAGCGCGGCAGCCAAACTGCGCATGTGTGCGCATGCGCAGTTCGGCCGGGAGCCTGGATTGCTCCGGACAACGGGCGCGCCGGCGATCCCAAGGCCGCGCTTGATGTGGCGTTCCAGGTAAGTCCTCCTCTTTAGGTGGTTCTTTTTTGCAGCGGGTTTTCCGGCTTTAGGGACGGATCAGGGACGGGTGTGCGCCGCTTCCCAGATGTTGCGGTGAGATCGCGCCCGTTTGCTGCGCCCCCGATCCGTCCCTCTCCCGGGCCAAAACCTTCCGTGTGACCGGGGCCAAAGAGAATTTTCTACAGAGTTACTACAGTAAAAGTCTTTAGGCAGCAGCTGGACAAATCCTTGTCAGGGGTGCTTTAGGCTGATCCTGCATTGAGCAAGGGGTTGAACCAGATGGCCTGCAGGGCCCCTTCTAACCCTGTGATTCTATGATTCTGTGCAAACTCCTCGTCTTCCAATTGTTATATCTGCACCAAATTTAAACATGTTCAGCGTTAACGATTTCAGGTGGGTAGCCATGTTGGTCTAGAGCAGGAGTAAGACAGATAAGGGGGGATTGCAGTATAATACCAATGTAGACAAGACAAATCACTGCAAACTGTGCATTACCAACTTTCTATTAATGCAAATTGTAACATATTCAACCATGTACTCATATATGTTTTACAGACAACAAAAGTCAAACTTCAGATGATGAAGATGGACGGAATTGGACGAACTCCCCGGGAGTTGAGACTCGTTTCGAGGCGTCTTTCCTTGATTCCTATACGTTTTGATGTCATTCACAAAAAATTCTTAACAACAATGTTCAAAACGGGTTGATCAGCCCGTTTTGAACATTGTTGTTAAGAATATTTGTGAATGACATCAAAACGTACAGGAATCAAGGAAAGTCCAATTTGGAAGATTTATGACCATGTGGATGCACAGCTATATGAGGTTGTATGTATGAAAAAGACACCTCGAAACGAGTCTCAACTCCGGGGGGGTTCGTCCAATTCCATCCATCTTCACCATCTGAAGTTTGACTTTTGTTGTCTGTAAAACATATATGAGTACATGGTTGAATATGTTACAATTTGCATTAATAGAAATTTGGTAATGCACAGTCTGCAGTGATTTGTCTTGTCTACATTGGTCTAGAGCAGGAGAACAAAGTTTGCGTCCAATGGCACCTTTAAGACCAACAAACTTTCATTCTGGGCATAAGCTTTGAAATGTGAGCACACGAAAGCATATCCCCAGTGCTAACGGTGTTCAGCGTTAACAAGGAAGGGGCTGGTTTCAGAACTCCAATTACCATTAGGGTCAGAGTGCAATGTGTGCGCCATCCCAAAGTGATAGAGTCAAATGAGGGCTTTAATATCTCAAAAAAACCTCAATGCTAAAAAAAAAAAAAAAAAGGCAGTTGTACTTTGGCCAAACCTGACTCTGCACAGCGAAATCACGAAGTCGGGAGTGTCATTTCCGTGACTGGAGCAGATCTCTTTGCCATATGGAGAACATAAGGACTGTGCCCTGAATGTCACCACTACGCAGAGATACACATCTAAAAAAAGATGGCGTTTCCAAAAGGCTTTGGTCCTCATTTAATGGTTTTTTTTTTTTTAAAGGAAGCAAAACACTACAATTTCAAACACAGCGAGGTCTATGAGCAATCATATAAACGGGCATGTCCAGAAGAGGGCAACCAGGATGGTGAGAGGGCTGGAATCCAAGTCTTACAAGGAAAGGCTGAAAGAGTTGGGTCTGTTTCGCCTGGGAAAGAGAAGGCTTAGAGGGGACACGATTGCAGTCTTCAAGTATCTGAAGGGCTGTCATGTAGAAGATGGAGCAGATCTATTCTCTCTGGCTCTGGATTGCAAGACTAGATCTAATGGGTGGAAATCACAAGGGAGTCGATACTGGCTAAATATTAGGAGGAACTTCCTAACTGTCAGAGTGGTTGAGCAGTGGAACAGACTGTCTTGGGAGGGGGGGGATGCTCCTTTGCTGGACGTTTTCAAGCAGAGGCTGGACGACCATCTTTTGGGTATGTTGTAGGGCTATCTTTCGACTAAGCTCCCACAGAGTGCAGGGGGTTGGACTAGATGACCTGCAAGGTCCCTTCCAACTCTAACATTCTATGATTCTATGATTCTATGAACAGAGTTTTCTCACCAGCCCCCCCCCCCCATGCTAGGCAGGTGTGCCACCAACGAATTGCCTTCTCTGAGACCAAGATGGTGTCTGACGAGCAGCGGCTGTAGTTGCCACTCCCGTTTTCCTGTTTTATTTCATTTCTCTTAGTTTAAAATTCAGGGTCACTGTCATCTGGAGGACAGAGGCTATTTTAATGAGGATTTGCTTCCTCGAAGCCTGATAGTTTACTTTTAAGGTGCTTATTCGTTTACCAGCGACTTGACTATTATGTAAAGGTAAAGGTCCCCTTGCTCGAAAGCCAGTCGAATCCGACTCTAGGGTTGCGGTGCTCATCTCCGTTTCAAAGCCGAAGAGCCAGCGCTCTCCGAAGAAGTTTCCGTGGTCATGTGGCTGGCATAAGACCCCCCCCTCCCAAAAAAATGCTGCAGTTGAGCCCGGACACCCAGGTGCAATCAAAGTCTTCTAAACAGATCAGAATTGATGACTTGCTCAATTCGCTGAATCATATGAACGGACGCATCAGGACATCCGCTCCACATATCTCACCCCTACTCTATAAGTTTCCAGGAAGATCAGATAAATTCCATACGTGTCTCCTCCTTGCAGACCGCTCCAATGAGACCATCTCTGAAGTGGCCAAATTTTGTGCTAAGACTTTGTCCATAAGAAAACAAGTATTCCAAACTTTTTGGTGTAGTGGTTAAGTGCTGAGCCAGTTTGGTGTAGTGGTTAAGTGCGTGGACTCTAATCTGGGAGAACTGGGTTTGATCCCCCACTCCTCCACGTGCTGGGTGGATGACCTTGGGCAAGCCATAGTTCTGATAAGAGCTGTTCTTGCAAAAGAGCCGTTTCTGTCAGAGCTCTCTCAGCCCCACCTACCTCACCGGGTGTCTGTTGTGGGGAGGGGAAGGGAAAGGAGTTTGTCAGCCACTCTGAGACTCCTTTGGGTAGTGAAGGGCGGGGTATAAATCCAATCTCTTCTTCTTTTCAATAACTTTTTATGTATAATTAATTACAGCACAATAAAGCTATGGATTTTAATCTCTGTATATGAATCTTACATTTGCATGTAAACCATGCTGTTAAATTGTTGTTGACTGATCTCTGGACCATGATAAATATTGAAATCTAAATATATTGCTTAGCTTAGCTTTTTTTTGGGGGGGGGAACATGAATTTAGGCATCTACAGAATGCAAAATTCAACACACGCTTAATTTCAATGCATGGAATTAGAATGCAGCATGCACCACTGTACTTCACCGTACTTCAAAGGGAACGACAGACAGAATGAACATCAGTAATAAAAGGGAGACTCCACTCCGGGCCCATAGCTAGGTGGGGCTTTGGGGGGCTCTGCCACCTTTCTTAAAGGCACAGCCCCACAAGAATTTCTCCTGTAAATGCTGTTTTCAACCATTTTAAAACACTTAAGAACATAAGAGATGCCAATGTTGGATCAGGCCAAAGGCCCATCCAGTCCAACACTCTTGAGTCACACAGCGGCCAAAAAGACCAGGTGCCATCAGGAGGTCCAGCAGTGGGGCCAGGACATTAGAAGCCCTCCCACTGTTGACCCCCCAAGCACCAAGAAGACAGAGCATCACTTGCCCCAGAGTCCCTATCTATACCTTGTGGCTAATAGCCACTGATGGACCTCTGCTCCATATGCTTATCTAATTCCCTTTTGAAGCCGTCCATGCTTGTAGCCGCCGCCACTTCCTGTTAAAAGGCGTACACTCCTTTAAGCAGAAAGGGGTGCTGTAGTTGACTAATCCCTGCACTGAGCAAGGGGGTTGGAGTAGGTGACCTCTAGGATCCCTTCTAACTCTGTGTCAAGAAACTGGTCTCCTCTAAGCGAGTTTTTCTGCCTATGTGTTCGGTTTCTTGACTATAGAAGTCATCACCCCCACCTGACGGCTTGTTCTCGGAATTGTTGCTTCGACTGGCAGAAGCGATTAACTTGCAGCGGCTGAGAACTGTCATCTAAACTGGTTGACAGCTTGCAATTTAGAGATCTCTCCTGGTAACAGCTTTCTATTGGCTAAATGGCATTTCTTTCTGCACTGAGAACTTTGGCCCCACCAGGGAAAAAAATTGCCCCACAAACCACAAAATCCTGGCTACTCTTTCTGGAAGCCGCCTGGTTGTTATAAACAAAGGAAGCAGAGTCTGAGGTTCAACACAGACACTCAGAATTCCGCTCTAAGCTGAAGCCTCTAGGTAACGCAGAACTCATCTTAAAAGCAATCCTTTCCCCAGATTTGAAGCAATCTGTCTGTAGCACTATAGCAGTATAAGGACTTTTATTCATAAAAGATGCCTGCTTTTCCAACATAACAGACAAGGGAAAGGATAAGAAGAGGCAAACCTCAAATTGATGCCAGATGGGAGAGTTTATTAATAAAAGCCCACCGCCAGATGCCTTTCAACAAAAAAATCTTCTTTTGAGAGAACAGTCAGGGGTTCTCTCATTTCAAAAGGGTGCTTTCTCAGAGATCCTCCATGCAGAACATTTCTCGGTCCCCTTGAACCCACCCTTGAAACACCTGGCGGGTGGCATCCTTTTATGAATCAATTTTCCACCCGGCAACACCTTCAGGTTTGCCTCTTTCTTCGCTTCCTTGCTTCTCCTTCCCCCTTTTTGCCGTTCCCGTACAAAGCAAGTCAAACTGCGCTTACCTTTCTTCCTGCTAAAAGCGCGGTTCATGATGAGAAATCACCCAATGTGCGTGCAATTTAATCTAGGGGGGGAAAGCACATTAAGTACAGTTAAAAAAGCACGTCGATTTTGCAAATGACATGAAGTTTCAGCCAGTAACGTCACAAGACTTTAAGGAAAAACCAATTAACCTCTATAGCAGTGTTCTATCTTTTCAAAAGTTAATTAATTCTGCATTCTCAAAACAGCATAAACGAACCAGCTCCAAGTGGCGATGTTAACCCTGGTGACTTGAGAGTAACATTGAATTACATGGGATTTAAATACATATCTGTAAGATCGGGCTGTGCGTTTGAGTGTCAAATTTTGCAGTATCGAAAGCATTTGGATACGATCTTTCAGACAGGGGTTAATAGAAAGTGTACTTTTATCAAGTGATTGTTGGAATAAGTGACTCTGCATGCCTGGATATTGGGGGGCGTTACATCACTCTAAGTCTTTATAGGTGTTATCTCCTTGAATGTGACGCTTCTCTTTGTATTAACCTGGGAGCTGCCCTCTGACTCCTCCTCTCTCCCATTGTCCTCTCACTCTCTTTACATGGCCTTCCATGAAGACACATGTCTCTGCAGGTCCCTCCTGTAGATACAGTGCCCTCATACTCCCATACATGTGATGCTGGATTAGCTGGCCATTTATTATAGGGGAAGTACTCTTGAGATTAGGGAGCTGCGGTGGCTCAAGTGGTTAAGATGCTGAACTGCAGGCTGGAAGGTGGATAGTTCAGCAGTTCGAGACCCGAGTGCCATATGACGGAGTGAGCTCCCAACTCTGGTCCCAGCTCCTGCCAACCTAGCAGTTCGAAAGCAAGAAATTGCAAGTGGATAAATAGGTACTGCTTCAGTGGGAAGGAAACAGCGTTCCGTATACCTCGGCGTTTAGTCATGCTAGCCACATGACCCCGGAAATATCTTCAGATAGCGCTGGCTCTTCGGCTTGGAAACGGAGATGAGCACCACACCCTAGAGTCAGATTCGACTGGCTTTCGAGAAAGGGAAACCTTTCCCTTTACTCTTGAGATTAGACGTCTCTCTCTCCTTTAGATTGCAACCTGCATGTGAACAGGATTTTTCTTGAATTACTGCAATATACTTCTTGGGGGATTTATTTACCACACTCAGTATCACACTCTTACGACTGGGCAAACTCTGCCATGCCAAAACCAAATATTCCAATAGTTATGATAGCCCTCAAGCAATTACAAAGAAGAACAGGATATATACATATTTGGTATTTACGCTGAACAAAGTTTGAGTCCAGTGGCGCCTTTAAGACCAACGGAGTTTTATTCCTGGTAGAAGCTTTCATGTGCAAGCACACTTCCTCAGATACAGATTCCTCTGTAACTACACTAAGAAAGTTTATACCCAGAATAAAACTTAGTTGGTCTTAAAGGTGCCACTGGACTTAAACCTTGTTCTGCCTCTTCAGACCAACATGGCTACCCCAGCTGAATTGCCCGTTTGGTGTAGTGGTTAGGACTACGGACTCTAATCTGGGAGAACCGGGTTTGATTCCCCACTTCTCCACATGCAGCTGCTGCTGTGATCTTGGGTCAGTCACAAGTTCTCTCAGAGCTGTTTTCTCAAGGGCAGTTCCCGAAGAAGCTCTCTCAGCCCCGCTCTGAGACTCTGAGTGAAGGGCAGGATATAAATCCAATCTCCTCCTCAGGTGAGAGCAGTGGCAGTGGACCCTACTGGAAGCACTGGGCCCCAGCAGCTCCCCTCAGTCCCATTCTGTCAGAATTCAGCACATATGAGACAGTAGCTCATATTTAAAAGCAGCAGCAGCGGCAGCAGAAAAAGAAGAAGAAGAAGAAGAAGAGGAAGAGATTGTATACACTGCCCTTCACTACCCGAAGGAGTCTCAGAGCGACTTACAATCTCCTTTCCCTTCCCTTCCCCACAACAGACACCCTTTGAGGTAGGTGGGGCTGAGAGAGCTCTCTCGGGGACTGCTCCAGAGAGAACAGCTCTTTGAGAACTTGTGACTGACCCAAGGTCACCCACATGGCGGCATGTGGAGGAGTCAAACCCAGTTCTCCCAGATTAGATCCTGCGCTCCTAACCACTACACTGTTCTTATTGTAATTTTAGTGTATTTATTGGTTTTATTGTACTTTAACTGTGTTAGCCGCCTTGAGCCAGTTCATACCGTTAAGGCGGGATACAAATTGAAAGCAAATAAAATAAAATACACCAAACTGGCTCTCTAGCTGTGATCTGCAACATTTGTGAAAACCTGGGTACCACTTCAGAAGTGCATAACTGTAATTCATCAGCTTAATAGTTTACACAAGGTCTAAGATTAAACTTCTCTGAGGAATGTAATACCCCAGCTGGCCAAAGGGCCGTAAGATCAGCTGACTGTAGTCCTACCGTAAGTTCATTATAAGAAATTGGGGGGGGGGGGGGGTTTTTTAGTTCAAGAAAAGCACAGCTGTTTCTCAACATTTATGAAAACACGGGTTTCTTGCAGTGATGAGAAACACCGGTTAAATGGGCTTCAGCTAGGAGTCCCTAACCATTTTGAGTCTGTGGGCGCTCTTGGAATTCTGACACCGGGGTGTGTGTGTGTGTGTTCAACCATAAAGTGTCAGGAAGTGAGGGCATGCATAAGTATAAAAGTAAATCTTCAACATTCAAGGCAGAAGTTATGTTTAACAGAATGCCTTTCAAAATGAAGACATGGTTTAAAAATATTTCCTTGCATACACTCACAGTAATGCAGGGCAGACCCTTTTGCTGAATCTGAACAGTCAATCAGCTCTCCAATGGCCAATCAGAAACCCTGCTGGACAAAAGTCCCACCTGGACCTGCCTACTTCATAAAAACACTTCGCGGGTATTGAGGGCCACTAACTTAAACAGTCTGTAACTTTACTCAAAGAACCAGACATACACGTATCTGCTTAGGCCAGTGTGGAGAAGAGAGCCATAACTAGAGCTGTGAAAACCCAGGAAAAATAAGGGGGGGGGGGGACCTCGTCAATAAAGTTATGGTAAAAATGTTTAAAAGTTCATGAGTTTTCAGTATACAGGTTGAAAACTTCATTTCCCTCTTGAGAGTTCCGGCACCTCTTTTTGCAAAAAAACAAAACAAAACCCACTTCTGGGGGACTTTCCCCCCTCTTTTTCCTGAGTAGTTTTTTTAATCCAATGGTAAAAATTTGGAGAACACTGAAGAAACTCTTATGAAGAAGAAAATTTGGTTTTTATATCCCGCTTTTCCTTAAGGATTCTCAAAGTGGCTGACAATCGCCTTCCCTTCCTCTCCCCACTACAGGCACCTTGTGAGGCAAGTGGGGCTGAGAGAGTCCTGAGAGAACCGTGACTGGCCCCAGATCACCCAGCAGGCCTCAAGTGTCTCAAAGAGACTGACAATCGCCTTCCCTTCCGCTCTCCACAACAGGCACCTTGTGAGGCAGGTAGGGCTGAGAGAGTCCTGAGAGAACTGTGACTGGCCCAGGGTCACCCAGTAGGCCTCATGTGTATCAAAGTGGCTGACAATCACCTTCCCTTCCTCCCCCCACAACAGGCACCTTGTGAGGCAGGTAGGGCTGAGAGAGTCCTGAGAGAACCGTGACTGGCCTGAGGTCACCCAGCAGGCTTCACGTGTAGGAAGAGTGGGGAGTCAAACCCGGTTCTCCAGATTAGAGTCTGCCACTCTTAATCACTACACCAAGCTGAAATAGTCCCCCCCCCCCCAGAAATGAGTGGCATGCTTTTCAAGAAGAGGTTTTAACTCAAATGGATAGCATGAAAAAGTCTGAGAACCTTTTTCAATTTTTTCTGATGGAAAAAATCAGAACATCTGAGGGAACACTAAAAAAAATATATGAATTTTCCCCCTTTCAGAATGAATGAAATGTGCTAAGATAGCAGAGGGTATAACAGCTTGTCGCTCACTCGTTCTTCTTTAGTATTGGTGTATTTACTATTTTCCATTTAGAAAACTTAGGCATTTATTCTTTTAAACTCTCTACATATGTCATTAATACAATTTATGTTCTACTAAGTTATAAATGATGCATTTTATGTTGGTAAATCAGTAAAACAGATATAGGTTTTCTAGAATACTAAATGTTACATATATTTCAACTCCCCCCCCCCCCACACAAAATTTCTATTTTTCCCCTGGGGAAAAAAAATTCGCCTCCCCAATGGCTTTAACAATTTCAGAAATGTTTATGGCTATAACTGTAATCCTGGGGAATAGTGATCTGTGTGAAGAAGACACTAACACTGGTTCAATAAAGTCCAAAGCATTGATACAAATACAATCGTATAAGCGATATCCGGATCCTTCATTTATCATTCTTCATACGTCTTCATCTCAAGAGGAAACGTCTCTACTTTAAGATTGGACTTGATTGTGCTTATATGATTGTATTTGTATCAATGCTTTGGTCTTTATTGAACCAGTGCTAGTGTCTTTTTCACACAGATCACTATTCCCTTGTATACCTACACTATGGCTGAGTTCAGACTGGCAATTTGAAGCGGGAGGGAGTCATGGCAAAAAAAGACCTGGAACACTTTTCCCGTTCATACTGCAGCGACTGATGCGAGAGCATCCCGGGAGGAGGCGCAAGGGAGCGTTCACACTGTTGGCCTGGAGGCGTGGCTGTACGGCGCAGCTTTCTTTTTTTGTAATCTGGTGATATGCGCTTATGCGCATGAGTGCATAAGAAAAATGCGGCTTTTGGTGTTCACACTTTGTTGGTGCAGGATGGACGTGGGACAATCGCGCTTTCCAGGGTTTGCTACCACTTTCACCAGGTATCTTTTAAACTCGGGAACGAAGCGTTACAAGACGGGTTCGGTATGGGGGGGGGAACGCCTGACAGATGTGCCTGTGTGAATGGCCCATTTAATACGGTTGTGGAACGTTTCCGAAACGCGCATATATCGGGGCAAACTGCCAGTCTGAACTCAGCCTGTGTGTTCCTCTTTGCTTAGTGTTTGTAACTGTAATCCAGTTACAAATAAAACAGTTTGTAACTGTAAGAGAGCCAGTTTG